AGGTAACTACCTGGTTTTCTCTTGAGGCTTTTAGGATTCTCTCCTTGTCTTCAAACCTGTCATTTTAATCACGATGTGTCTTGGTGTAGGCCTCTTTGGGTCCAACTTGTTTGTGACTCTCGGAGCTTCCTGGACTTGTGTGTCTTTTTCCTTCACCAGATCATTGAAGTTTTTGATCATTATTTCTTTAAATAGATTCTCAATCCCTTGCTCACTCTCTTCTCCTTCTGGCATTCCTAAGATGTGGTCCAGTTGGTTTTGGACAAATGAAGGCATTGAAGAGAAAGAAGAGAACAGGAGGAGAGAGAGCTCCCATTATGTATTGCCCCATCTCTCTCACTGCTGGGCCACAGGGTTCTCTCCAGAACACTGGAGCTCCTGTCGGTCAGCTCTTTTCCCGTAGCTACACGTTTCACTGGTCTTGCCCCTCAAGGCCTGTGGGGCAATAGTCCTTTTCGCCTGCTACTAGCCTTGTGGTCCTCACCACATCTTGTTGGTTTCCTGCCTACACCCTTGTAAATAGCCTCTTTATTAAACTCCCTCCAATCATACTTTCTCTGTTTGCAACTCTCTGTCTTTCCAAGAACCTGCCCAACATGGGCCACGGTTGGTTGTTATCGGAATCACTTACAGTGGAATGGTTGAGGAAGATGGGTAAAAAAGCAAATGAAAAAAAGAAAGAAAAGATTACAGACATGGATTTTTAGAAAATACTGCGTTCATAAATGAAAGGGAAATGCTAGAGAACATCATAACCAGTAAGAATTCTGAAGAACCAGAGACTTGCTTTTAGGTTGTGAATAAGAAGTTGATGCAGAACAGGCAGATATAATTATATGATATAAGCAAAAAACTTGTGAAATTTGAATGTGATATAATCTATTTAAAAGCACAGAAGGCAGAATGAGCCTCGTACAAAGAGACAACTTGTACAAGAACAATGAAATAGAGAATTGATGGGTACATGTGGGGTAAATGAGGAACCTCACGCTATGTGTGCTTTCTCCCTGTGACGTTGAAGGCAAGGCCCTGTGTTCAGAGGGGAAGGCTATGGGAGAGAAGGAAAATAATAAAGGCTTGAAACAGTGGCTGAGGGAAATGAAAGAGGGAATTGTTTGCTGAACAAGCTACATACTCTAGTTGAAAAGTTCAGAAAGTAGGACATTTAAAAGAGAAGTGCTTTGGAAGAAGAAGGTGACAAAATTATGGACTATACTAGCAGGAAAGTGAGTGACATCATCCACCAAGTGTCTAGGCTATGACAGAAAGACAGAAAGACAGAAAAGGAAAGACAGAAACTGTGCATGTGGAGAAAGTATTAAAAAGGGAAGGTGGAGAAATGGCAGGACTTAAAGAATGTGTAGTGAGAGTAAAGGATGGATAAAGTTGAAGGGTAGGTGGCTATTGTCAAAGAATGGTACATTGAAATTGAAGATTTAAAACAGGAATTTGGTGGTAAAAGTAAGAGCTGAATATATAATCACAGAATATGTTTACTGATCAGAGGGGCATGAGATGACAATTTCTTTCCTGAAATCCATTATCAACTGGGTTCCAGAATATAATCCCTCAAATAGTAATTAATAAGCAAAAATAAGTCCCCATTTCTTTTAATTTCAAGAATATGTGAGTTCCCTTCCTAGATCATAAATCCCTTGAGAAGGATTGACTGTATCTTACCTATTTTTATTACTCCCCATTATCTAACATAACTCTTGTGTATACTAAACACTCAAACTTTTGTACAATATTTGAAAAAGAGAACAGAGAAAAATAAACAAAATTTTCATCATCAGATAACAGTTTACTAGATAGATTTGAACAGCTAAATTATATGATCACAATTGTATTCTGTAAGAAATTCAGTATTAAATCCCAAATTCCACAAATTTCTTATTTGTGTGGTAATGTTTATTTTGCACTGCTGTTTTCAGAACCAATTTAATTTATATTTATTGTGGTCAGTTTAAAATGGCAGTTTTTTTCATATCTTTCAGTTTAAAGATACAGAATTTTAATTAAATCCTTATGTAAAGAACGTGAGGTTGTGTTTTAGATAGATGAGTTGCATCCCAACTCCTTGACTAATCTTTATTTACATAATTGTATGTTTAAGATCTTATATCTACGTACTCTATGCATCCTTTTGCTTCATTTATATCTATTAGTAATAATAATAATAATAGCATTTGTGTAAGACTAATTTTGTGACAGGCACTATTACAAGTCATTTACTTGGTTTTTTTCTCCCCACATAACAACCCAGTGAGGATGAGCAATTATTATTATTACTTTACAGATGAAGAAATAGGTACAGAGAGGTTAACAAAAGGGCCTTAGATCACAAAATTAGTGAGTGGATTTAAACCTAGGAAGTCTCGAACTGTGCTCAAGATATTAGTTATCACTGCTAATCTAGAGATGCAAATGTAGGTGCATTTAACACCTATTGCTTGTCTGAGGGTCTGTTTTTTTTACCTTGAGCTCCCTAAGATCAAAGACACTGCATAGCACATTGCAAACTTGTCAATAAATGTTTTGTGAACAAATGAAGGGATGAGCTTCACACTTTCCATGATAATCCCTACAGATTTTTCTACTATTTTCATATTATTTTACAACTAACACTCTTGGCTTTTCTATCAAGTCTATTCCAGTACTATTTGTTATGGGACACGCTATGACGCTTTACACTTTTACATTTAAGACATCATTCCTCTGCTGAGACACAAACCAGCTCTTCCTCCCCTCTTGCCTAATAGCAGATGGAGTGTTTGCATGAGGACAGTTTGTAACCCAGGATTTCTGAAGCAGTGGATTTCAAATATTCTCGTCAAATCCTGCCTTTGTCCGACTCTTGCTGATGAGTGTTACTGTCAAAGCATCGCTCTGGCATCCATTAGTCACCAAAGTACTTATTTTGAACACGGTTGCTATCATCACTCCCTACAAAGGTGCCACCTAGTTACTTTTGTTTTGACAATTATGGGTTAAATACATTTCTGGGTTTAGTCCTGCATAAGCTTGCTAGCTTCTCTACTTTAAATTAATGTGTGGTGGGTTATTTCTTATGAGAGTAAAGCTTTCGTTGAACAAGAATCTTTCAGAGCACTCATTTTTATTCTTATCCATAGGTGAAAGCCTTCTCTCTCTGTTAGCTACCTATACCTTTCTATCCCCCAGCCTACAAAGCTGTACTACATTGTGCTTAATAATTAGTGATTGAAAAGACCTTATGTTTTATTCTTAAAATATTATTCTTTTTTGAGATTCCCATTTGACTGTCCTTCACTGCCTTGCCATCATCTTTTTAAGTATTTACTGCCAGTCCATAGAATTAATGTCAATCTAAAGAATTGCTCTACTAAGGAGTTTTAAAATTATAAACATCTCCTACAAGGCTCCTGTTTTTTGCTCTATTTTTTTTAAATCCAGTAATTCCTTAACAGAGGACTCTGTAAGGGATTAATAAATTTGTTAGCAATTACTTGATTGGAGAAATCATGGGTGTTTTTTTGGTTTGTTTTCAAGCTCCTTAGTTTATACATAATTTCAAGCTCCTTAGTTCAGGCTCCTTAGTTCTCCTAGAACTTTTTCACCTTGTGCTTGGTGTTCATCAACTTATAAATAGGCCATAGAGGATTTAAAATGCCTTTCTCAGTTATAAAGAGGAATAAAAGATTGACTTTTGTATTCATGCACAGAAGCAGTACCTACTGCAGCAACTGTCTGTTAGGGACTGGTCCATAAGAAGGCCTGATTGATGTGGAATGGAAACACTGGAAATGAGGAATAAAGATAGTACTTGTGATACTTCTTTCAAGTGACATGATTGCCAAGTAAAGCAGAAAAGTGAGGGATAGCTGGAAATTGAAAATTATCGGCAGGCATCTTTTAAATAGTGGGTAATTAAAAACTCATTGATAAGCCAATGGGAATAATACAACACCAAAAAACAGATGATGCAGAGAAAGGGGAAATAATTTAATTGCAAAAGAAAAATTACTGTGTGGCTGATAGGATCCAAAGCCTACTTTACTCAGTTGGCCTTCACCACTGTGCAAACACTTCCATGGTAACATCAGTGGTAACAGTATTTACATGTTGGTGCAGGTTTCCGTTGGGTGACGGAGAGATGATGACGTAGGACTCACCTGATAGCATCTCTTTTCTCAATGAAGTATGAGCAAAGCAAAATGTTTAGACTGGGAGGAGAAGGACAGAAAAGGGTTAAGGAAAGAGTGAGAAGCTACACAATAGTAATTTAGAAGAGCGGAGACAGAAATTTGTGAGTGATATCTGGTTTCAGCATTGGTCCAGCAGGGAAAATGTACAGAGCTCACCTCTCGCAGGGAGCCCATCACTGGTTACTTATCAAACAGCATGAATTTTTCATTCACAGGCAATACGGCTGTAGCTCTCACTCACCCTCATTTTCCACTCTGATTCAGACTCCTAGAGGTTTCTTTTCTCTTGCTCTTCAGCCCATTCACGTACTTTAAAACACTATTCAAGCCTTCTTTTGTGTTTTTATGTGTTTGTGTAGGAGCAGAGGTTTTGAAGTATTTTCAAAGGAATTAGAGCTTTTGTGAATTTCAACTTCATCATTTACAAAGTGAGAGTAATATCTTTTTGCAGGAATGTATTTAAGAATTAGAGGTGATATGTATAAATGACTAGCCCATATTTGGCAATTAATAAATGACAGTTATAATTATAACTACTACTAAATTTTGTTCTTTCATCCAACAAATAAGAAATCCTTGCTTCTATACTGCCTTCTTCCATAGGTAAGTTTAACTTCTAAAATTTTATTTTTAACAAATACTTTCTTTTTTGCAACATTAATGCAGGACGATATTTCTAAGTTTCCTGTGCTTTAGTTTGGTTAGACTGTAAGATGTCTTTCTGAATGATGCTTTTCATATTTTAGGTTATATAATATTTTTTAGGGCCTTGATGTTGTAATACTTGAGAAAGAATAGATTTCAGATAGAATCTTTATTTCCTCATGAGACTTTATTCTTATTATGTAGGCAAAATGATAATTAATGATGTCCTTTGGAAATTCCAAATAATAACACTGCAGAGAAAAACAAGGAGCAAAAACGCTAACACATAACATGGAAGGGATTTCTGAAAACTGTCACCAAATAATCCCCATTCTCTTGGTTTACTAACCGGTTTCTGAAGACGACAGGGTTTTGTAATAAAGCCTTACGTAAATTTGAGTAACAAATACTAAATAATGCTAATCATATAACTTCAACATCAATCTGGTTTTGCTTCCACCTGAGAATAGTCATGTCCACATTTGATATTCTCTAAAGGAGTATGGATACTACCAAATCGATCAATGTTCGGTGTGTAAGGGAGAAATCTGAGATACCGGCAGAGCGAATCTTTACTCAATATCTTCTTCCATATTGGTCTGCTCAAGGGCATGCATCTCTCTTTCAGGTAGTAGCCCATATTCATTTAGGAAAGACTCCACATCCCCAGCAAAAAAGTCTTCGGCCAACTGTTCGGCAACACTAATAAAATTGCTTATGAGTTCCCCACCTTTGTAGACAAGCAGTGCGGGGAGCACATCTGTGGAGAAGCGGTCACCAGCTCCTGTATCGGAAGCTTTCATTTTACAAAACTTGACCATAGGGTATTCGGCTGCAAGGCATGTGAGGCTACTGTTTAGAGCATCGCAGCCCTTAACGCCGTCTTCATAAATGTGAACCACGATTGTGGTGCTTTTCTGCTCCTTTTCGATGGTTTCCAGGAATTGCTCCCCAGTTTGCAGCTCGTACACGAACCCATATCTAGGCCCAAAACTCAGCTTCTGGTGCATGTCCTGCATACACTGTCTACGGTATCTGCGAAGGCAGTTTTCATCTTCTTTGCCCTGGTGGATTAGCTCATACTCTTGAATGCTCATCTGAAAATAAATGAAGGGATGACAGAGATCGTTCAGCCAGGGGCTTAATTTTTAGACACACCAACCCCTTCCTCAACTCAAAGAGTTTCTGTGTGCTGCGCTCCCTCAATCCAACCTTCCCTTTACCTCGTTCAAGCTTTCGTTCCAACGTCACCTTCTTTGATTACCTAAAAGAGTTCCTGCCCCAAGCTTTCTATTCCTTATATGATTTTTGCTTTGTACCAAGAAACACTACCTGCTATTGTATGATAAATGTATTTGATTGTATAATACTCAGTTTCTAACTGATATGTTCCATGGGAGCAGGGATTTTATTTATCTCGGTCACTACTCTTTAATGTCTGCTATAGTGTCGGGCACATAATAGGATTCAGGAGTTATTTCGTGATACAAACGCATGCAGGAGTACTGCCGAATACAGTTGAGCCAGGAGACGATCACTATCTCGGTCAGAAATGTGTCACTTAACTACCGATCGCTGCGGGTGGAAAAACACAAGCCCAGCAAGACCTGCTTCACAAGCGATTTTCATAAACACCCACACAGACACGCGCACACGCGATTTAAATGTATGCTCAACAAATGCCTTCGGACATTAGTGTCTCCTGCACAGAAGTTGTTAAAGAGATTTTATCTCATCCCTTACCGATTGTAGAATATGTAGAATGGGATTGAGCCAAGACAGCTTTTACTACAATTTAGGGTCCATCAGATTAGCCAGGAGGTTTGTGCTGTACCAACAGTATTGCCATCACCTGAGAAGTTCTGGGAAATGCAAATTCAGGGGCACTAGGCCAGACCTATCAAATCACAACCTGTCAGGGTGAGGCTGAGTGAGCTGTATTTAACCAAGCCCTGCACGTAGTTCCTATCCACTGTCTTAGGCAAAAGTGAGAAATAGCCTAACTTTCTTCTTCTAAGACAGCTATGTATCCCTGCAGCTAGAATACAAATTATTTGCAGAACCTTTCTTAATAGCTACATTATTACCAACTTGTTCAATAGAATGTTAAAACCCACCCCCTAACACACTCAAAAAAAGAGAGAGAAGAAAGGCTATAAAGGAGCAATGATGGGACATGGTGTGATTAAGAAATGAGCAGCAGCCCAGAGCCAAGGAAGGAGGTCGGTTTCCAAGGGGCACCAATCAGCCTTATCATCAAGTAGCCTCTCAAACAGCAACTGCTGACAGTATGTGAAGTACGTGAGCGAGAAGGCACGAAAATGGCATTTATGAAAAATTTATGTCTTAGGCAGTTGACGTAGATTATCTTACTTAGTCCTCCCAACATATCTATGCAGTAGGTATTGTTACAGAACTTTACAAAAGATACTGAGATTCAAGTTAGTAAAAGCACCTGATGCTCTCATACATCCTCCTCCCATTTCTCTTACATTTGTGTTTCTAAGTCTTCATCCTTTTTCTTATCATATTTTTTCTGCTTTAAGATGATTGTCCTGGTTTCATTTGTTTTAACCTTAAAAATTGGTAAATGTTTTGTATAGTTTTTAAGTTGCTACTATAATTCTGCTAATCGAATAGGCTAACCCACACACATATTTACTCATACACTTGAGGTTTTTTATAAGGACTTGTTCTATTCTCATATTTGGGCATGTAGATAGATATCCAGGCACTTAGATACGTGTCTAAAGCTTCACATTAGTCCATCTCTAATAATTATATGGTCTCGTGTTTGTGTAGCATTTCACACGTTTCAAACACTTTTACATTTATTTTCTCTTCTCCTGGCTTTAAAGTGAGTGGAGGAGGTGCTGTTACAATTCCTAAGATGGAAAAAATGTAATTGTCTCATCTGCATCATATAGTGACTCAGTGAAGGAACCCGACCTGAAAATAAGATCTGTGACTTCACAATGTCTACAATGACCAGAGTCTAAAAACAAGTCTATTTCTGAAGCACCGTCTGTTTGTTGAGAATCAATAGGCAACAACTCATCTGGACTGGTTTGGAGATAACCCACTAAAGTGATTCTTTCCCCACAGTGAAAACCACTTCATGGCTTCTTTTATTAATACTTTTATTGTCATATAAATTAATCATCATGCTGATTATAAAGATCCAAAAATGACCTAAAAGCTAAAGGAAGAAAGTAATTTCACCGCTTTCATACTCTGGGATAATCTCCATTCATATCACAGAGATCATCTTCTAATGTATCTCTTTATGCACATGGACGTACACAGTATATAACAAGTAAATAAGTGAAATTAAAAAGATGGTGCTGTAAAAAATGTGATTTGAGCCCTGGCAGGTGTAGCTCAGTGGATTGAGTGCGGGCTGCGAACCAAAGGGTTGAGGTTAGATTCCCAGTCAGGGCACATGCCTGGGTTGTGGGCCAGGTCCCCAGTAGGGGGCGAGTGAGAGGCAACCACACATTGATGTTTCTCTCCCTCTCTTTGTCCACCCCTTTCCCTCTGTCTAAAAGTAACTAAACAAACAAACAAAAAAAAACCCTCCCAAGATGTGATTTGGAAAGAAATGTGATTCATGTTTACACTTCGTAAATTATTTATTATTGATTTTTTTTAGCTTACCTTTCTGCCGAATCTTTCTTTTGAGTCTTTGTCATCTCTACTCTGAGGAGAAGACATTTGCCTGAGAATTTCCTTCTTGCTTGGTGGGACCGAGTCACTATCTTCACTCTCTAATTTAAACTTCCTCCAATCATGTATTACTCCTTTTGGTCCTGGAATAAAATTAAAAACAAATTGTTTCTCTTTATTTTCAAAAGGACTTAATACACCTGAAATTTGTATAAGTATCACCATGGGAATAGACCTGTGTTGTGTTTCAGAAATAAGCATCTTGTTTGGGCTAGAAAGTTCTGACTGTCATAAGTCAGAAAACAAAAATGTTTTCCCACATTTGTCTTGGTAAATGGGTTTTGGCTAAGAATCTTTTTGAAACATCTGCATTGATGAAAATATGAATTTTGGACTTTATTCTCAAAACTATATCTCAAAAGATATTTAAAAGTGAAATGTAGGGAGGAAACTAGAATTTTAGAAAAATATCACTTATTACATAAGACAGAGGCTTCAGCAATAAACTAAAGCTGACATAGCACCGGTAACAAAGGAAACTAGGCTTGTTGGATAAACAAACAAAAATGTTATCAAGATTCAGAAAACAACCTTAACAATAGCACATAAAAGAAAAACAGTGAGAGAGGCCTAACCTCAACTAACAAAACTAAAATGACCTTCAAAACATCATTACATAACCATCCAATTCTTTTTAGGATTCCGCGAACCTTTTACAAATGCAGAAAGGATAGGATTTGCAGATTCAAATCAAGGATGATCTGAATGGAATTCTGTTGTCCAGTTGCCCTGATAAATAGTAACAGTGCTGAGGTTAATTCTTTTTTTTTTTTTTAGAATATACAGAGGGGAAGAGAAGGGAGAAAATCTGTAGTTGCCCACATCCTTTAAACCACTAGCTACACCAGCCAGGGCGGAAGGTCTAAATTCTTGAAAACATGCAACGTTACATATTTTTCACAAAAGCTCAGCCATATCCAGAGCTTTAATATTGTATTATATAGGTGGATGTACTTTTCTTTCTGTACCTATTTCCTAATAATTGTTATTTATATCACTTTAATTCCGTTGCTTACAATTGCAAAGAAAGTTTATACTGTGGGAAATTAGGACAGAGGACAGCAGCTTGATTTTAGTGCCTATGGAGAGGTCTTATGAAAGTTGGGAGGCAAGAAATTCTCCATAAGTAGTTTTTAATTAAATTTCTCATTACTTGACATCTAAATAAAATGGTTTTAAAAGTATTCGATCTCAAATTAATTTACCCACTCAATTATTTTTAGATGATTTCATCAGACCCCTGAAACCTATAAAAAATTTCATACTGAATAGTGGCAACAGGAAGAGTAGAGATCTCCGGGTTTAATTATAATTTAATAATTAGTTTTCTTTCCATATCCTTGCTTACCTGTATGTGTGGCCTGTCCATCAAAGTCTTCTTCCAAACTTTGGCTTTTGGCTTCTTCCATTGTAGAGATTAGATTTGATATACTCTATAGAATGAACAAAAAACATAATGACAAATGAGAAATAAGTAAATAGACAAATAAATATTCTTCTGCTGTCAGGTTCCATGGATGTTAAGGATTATTACCAAGTGATACAGTGTTTAGTATGTTTCTATCTGCTGGTAAAAGAACATTAATATTTGTGTTATTAAAGATATTTGGGCCTAAGGATTTTGCGTAATTCATAGTTTATATTCTTTTACTTAAAATATCTTCGGTTTAGGTCTATGTACTTAGTAAACATTATTTCTTACTGATTTTTTCAATTACTGTTTGTACCGAATTTCATAAAATTATATCTCAACCATTTTATATAATGAAATGCTTTAATGAATAATAATTATATACTTACTTACCATGAACAGTTACTATGTGCCAGACATTGTCCCAATTATTTTGTGTCAAAATCCTTTAATTGTCACACATCAACGTGTGACGGAATAATTGTTAGTGCCGCCCTATGAATGAGGATGCTGAAGGACAGAAGTGAAGTTACTTGCTCAGAAGCTTATAGTAAATGGTGCAGCAAGGGTTCGAATCTGCGTTTGACTTTCAGAGCTAAATCTTAAACCATTGCTCTATCACGGAAGGCAACAGACTATCACAGAGCCATTTTTCTCAATACAGTTTGACAGATTCAGCTTCTGAATTTCATTAAAAAACGATAATCGAAAGAACATCGAGCGGTATGCAAAACCTAGCACTCTGTATTCTTTTCTCTTAAAAGACATCATTGCTGTTTCATTAAATTCTGAAGTAGCCTTCTGGAACAAATATTATCATTCCCACTTTAAAGGTTAAGAGGAACAAACAACACAACATATAATGTTAAGAACAAAAGCCCAAGGACACACAACTGGGTGTTTGGTGCCGGGGCCTGAGAGTCTTTCAGTGCTGAGGGTTATGCTCCATTTTACAGTTTGGTAGCCAGATCTTCAAGTACAAAGAGCAGGGAATCATGACTTCTTCCCTTCAGTTCTCCTTTCACCCAAAGAGAGTACTGAAGAATTTTAAATTTCAAAATTAATTCTCTATTCATAGTTTTATTTGACAACACACTTCTAGAATAATTACACTCGAAATCCTGTGTTTATTCTGAATTTACATGAGTGAAGATATCTTGTGCAAATCACTTTAAGGTGGAAAGATGCACAGTATTTGTTTTTATAGTAAATTATTACTTAATGTTACTTTGCACTATTTCGAAAGAACACACGTTAATATATAAACAGTGAGATTATACTTCTTTCCCTGAATGTAAAATTTAAAAATTATATTATTAAGAATAACTGTGACTCACAGTTTGGTTCTCTGTGCCTGGTGTCCTTGATTATGGTCAGTGGATAAGAATTCCTGTACTCAGAACTCCTCTTGAACTTGGACAAGGTTTAAGCTCAGATTTAAGATCTCTGGATATTGATGACCTTTGCAGAAATAGCTCTGAACAAGTAATAGGATTGACATAATAGAATTAACAAATCCTATTCATTAACAGTAAGGCAAAAACAGACAACTAAGCTTAAAAAAAGGGCTTCAAGTCCTACAGTATATGCAATCTTCATCAACTATTGTATGTTATTTGAGAAAAAATATTTATTTTTTCAGTATGAATTGATATCTATTCTTGCCATTTTCTGAGAGAAAAATTAGTTCTATGTGTTTAACAACTTTTTCTTGAGTTAACTGTAATAGCTATCCTTTTTCAACAACATTTGGCATGGTATATTTTTCCTCTTGAATTTACCAAACGACTACTTTCTTCTCCCCTTTTAGGATCTTAAAATGTCTCATGTTAAAATCTCTACTGTTCCTTATTACTATTTTTTTTTGGGGGGGGGAGAAAGAAAAATCCCAGAGAAGTTTGAATACAGTCTTTGCTGCTATTAATAACCTCTGCTTTGTTGTATCTTTTCTAGTCCTTGTTTGTTCCATCATGTTGCTCATTTCACTTTTCTTCCCTGTGCCATTCAAAATGATGAACTTCTTTCAACAATAATTTATTGACCACCTACCCTTTGCTAGGGGATGCTTACCAAAAGTGATATTGCAATCTTCAGAAATTAGATGTTTGCAACAGTCCTGGGATGAATATTTTATGAAGTAAGAGCAGTCAGCTTAGTTTACAGGATGCATCGACAGGTTGAAAGACAGCAATTACATCAGTGTTTTAGTTGTGTCAAAAAGAAACACGGAAAGGAAAAGCTAAGAAACCAGTAAGATTGGCTATCTACTAGGAATGAACAGAAGTGAGGGATTGGGAGTGAGGGAGAGCAATTCATCTGCGAGTATATTTGTTGTACAGCTTGATTTTTGTAATGATGATAATATTTCTTATATACACAAGCTAAACCCACAAAGTGATGTAAAGCCAATGAGATGGAGGGGACTTAAAATGGAATAGAACTAGAAGGAAGTGAAACTAAATATTTCCAATGAAAAATACAACCACATTGAAGGCAGGGGGCAATCAGCCCAAGTCACTTTTGAATACAATAGTTTGAAAACTTAACCTTAGATTAATGACCTGAAAAATTGAACTCTAATTCTTCCAATATTGAACTCTAGTCAGTAGGACTGTGTTTTTGCAGCATTGCGGTGAGCAATCTGTTATCTGATGTGTGTGGCGTGCTCGTAAGTATATATGTTAAGGGTAAAAGAAGTCTAGTTTCGTACTGTTGTTCATTAGAGTACAGCTATGCCCTGGGAGAAGATTAGCCTGAAGCTGCTTATTTTGGATTGGGATTGGAAGTATCAACATGAATTTATGGCTTGTTCTTTCTGCCTACCGACCTATCTGGGTATGTGTGTATACAAATGCACATATACGGCTCCTAGTTCTGTGTTCTGAGGGCATAGAAAAAATACTCCAGTAGCGGTGAGTATACTTAGTAGCCAAATCTTGGTTTCTAAATAACATCCTTACTAAAAAGGAACCAAGGATCGTTGGAAAAGAAGCAAGAGCCGGACCAGGGAAATGATAAAATTAGCCTGAGATGTCATAACAAAAATAAACGAATGCTCAAAAATCAGAGACGCGTCAAAATGATACAGGAACAAACTTGAAAGGGCCTCACTGGTCAAGTTTTGGACAATTTACAAATGGATGTAAACATTATGTGCCAGTCTGATATGGAGCAAGATATCTACACAGTCTCCAAATATCTCCTTACAATTTACATATTCATTCAAAAGAGAAAACTAACAAATGACAGTGGAGCATCATCAGCAGGGAGACAAACTGGCATCGTGTGCTTTCTGATGCTGAGAAAGATCTTGGCAGGCAGCATCCCTCTTGTGGAATTCAAACCAAAATTGCGTAGTCTGGATCTAATCGTGAGGAAATATTAGACGAAACCAAAATTGAGAGACATTGTACAAAGTAATGGGCTTTTCACAAGAAACTTGTGAAAGAGTGGGAAGAACTGTTTCAGATCAAAGGAGATTAAAGAGATGGCAGCTGAGTGAACCACGTGATTCTGGATTGTAGGATCTTGGATTACAATACTTCTGGGCTCCGCTCCTGGGCATTACTAAGACAATTGGTGAAATATGAATACGATCTGTAGATACGATGATAGTATTACTCAATATCAGTGCTCTGCTTTTGACAACTATACTGTGGTTGTAAAAGATAACATTCTTGTTCTTCTCTGGAAATTTACAGTGAAGTAATTTAAGGTAACATGGCATTCATATCTTCAAACTTACTTTCTAATAATTCTGATTAAGAAAAAATACACACTCTTTGAAATTCTGTAGCTTTTAAATTTGAAATAATTTCAAAAACACTGGCCAGAATACTACAAGTAACTGATATATCCTTCCCCAGACCCCCCAACTGTTCATATTTTATCACATTTGTTTATTTATATCTCTCTCATCCTATTCTTTTTTTTTTCTGGAAAAGTTGTTTTTTCTTTTATTAAAAAAATGGAATTTATTGGAGTGATGTTGGTTGTTAAAATTGTACAGGTTCCAGGCGTACAATTCTGTGATACAACCTCTGTGTATTGTAATGTGTGTTCAACATCCCGAGTGAAATCCTCTTCGACTGCCCCAAATCCTAGGCGCGCTTGAAATGATTTAAAAGTAAAAAGGCACAAAAGTTTAAAAGAGTGAATACTTTCTACTTCTTTTGTGCCTGTTTAAATAACTAGTATAAGGCAGTGATTCAGAACATTATTTTTAGAGTAAGAGACGCCCACGTTCAAGCCCGGGCCCTTCTGACTGCTGTTGTGACAATCTCCTCGGAGCCTGTTTTCTAGTGTTAAATGGTAAGAATGCTGATCTGAGGGTCCACTGTGAGAATCTAATGAACACGAACCACTTAACACCATTGCTGTCCCACAAGGAGCAGATAATAATTTATTCTTATTTTTGCTTCATCCGTTTCTCTCATTTCTATGTATCTTTCCTCTCCTGATGGAATTCAAATTATTTCAGTGCTGACTTTGAAAACTCTATCCTTTTTAAAACTCCAGGACTCATTTCTTTTGTGGGAAACTAATTTGCTATTCTCAGACAGCTATATATATATCTGGCCTTTGAGGCATAGAAAGACATACTTAATAAATGTATTTATGTTATTTCTCTTTTGAAGTTTTTTACCCAAATTTTTCATTTTGCATTTTGGGACCTAGTAGTAAAATTTACACTGTTTATAGAACCTGCACATCTTTAAAAGTGAAATCTTGAAAACTAAGTAGGAGATACACTATTTGTTTTATTGGGTTGGATTATATTTCTTTCAGCTATTTGTTTATTTTTATTCTGGCTTAAAATTTTGAAGACTATGAAAATAACATTGGAGAGTTGTTTTATTGAATTAGGTGAATATTTCCTTGTTGTTCCTTTGTAATACATTGTTGGCTACTAGGACTCACATTTCATTGAAGTTCAGATTGCTGCTGGAAAGCTTGTGGGAAAGGGGCTTGTCCCTGCTATTACAAATGCTGTATTATGCTAGACACTGCACCCAGATGAGGCGAATCCTCCACGTTAGTAAAATACTACTCATAAGGTAAGAATGAATTTGTGGTTCAGTTCTGCAGACAGTACATGTAACATGAGTCTGTAACGCAGCTACTTTCACCATAGTGATCTTTTCATTGAAGTAACCATAGTAAAACCATTAATAGCCTTTAGATTAAACTGTCCAGTGGCTTCTTTTTCTCCTTCATCATGACTTTCTCTTCTTCTTCTTCCTCCTTCTTTGAAGTTAAATTATATGAGTCATTTTATTGAAACAACAATGGGTAGCGAGCAACTGATGAAGAAAATGTAAGAAAACAGGTTTGTTTTTGACCCAGACAAGGATGATGAACTCAAGAAAACATGTACATCTGATGCTGTTTTATAATGTGTAAAGTCAATGAATAAAGGAAACATTTACAGGACTTGGAAATGATTTATATGAAATTCTCTTTGTTGCACTTAGTGTTTCTTCAGGTAGCTCTGACCCTCAATGGCGCTTCGTATACAGCAGAGTCTTCTTATGTATTTGGTGAACCAATGCATTTTAGAGAAAGTGACCTCAGTCACATTTCACTCCAATGGAGAACTTGGAATTGATGATTGTCTCTTAAATAATTGACCAATGATCTACTTATAATCCTCACAACCAAAAAATTAGTGAATAGAATCAGGAATGGATTTAGAAATAAAACAAAGCACATCATTTTGCTCTTGTATAAAATCACAGTACAGCCACATCAGAAAAATTGAATTCAGTTTTTTAAAAAAGTGGTAATAAAGATGGAAACCTTCCAGGAAAATGATAATATCAAAGTAATTGGAAACACTTTTAAGAGAGCTTATATGAGTTAAAAACATTTTCAATAGAATCTTAGGAATTGGGAAAATATTATTTTTAAATAAATACACTTGCAATTTATAAAATATTAAAGGCTGTGGGCCTTAGGAATATAGAGTCATCAACATAAGGAAAACACCTTAAGTTTGAAAGACATAAATTTAAGCAAATTAATGCAAGAAACTTTCTTTACATGGAAGTAAAAAATTTTATGGAATTCATATCAGGGGATAATAGAAATTTGGAGTTTCAAATAAAACTCATTTTTATTCGGGAAAATCATAACAAATTTGGATTAGAGGCATTTAAAAGGTGTTTGTCTTTTGTAAACCTAAGTAATGATAGTCATTTGAATTGGTAGCTCAAACTGCTACCTCAAACAAATAACCAGCTCACATGGACAGCGTTTACAGGCAGGGAAGAAAACGAGGCGTTTGCTTTCTGGAGTCCCCTGGAAACAGCCCAGTGCTTAGGGGTGTGGACTCCGGAGCCAGGCCACCTGGGCCCTCCACGTGTGTGGCTTTAGGAACCGAGAATCAGGCATCTTTCCCTTAATCCACTTAAATGAGTCAA